TGAGACAAGCTAACACAGCTCACTGAAGAAAAAATAGATAAACTGAATAGACCTATATCTATTAAAGAAATGGGATCTATAGTTTAAAAGCCTCCCCACAAGGAAAAACACCAGGCTCAGATGGCATTCACTGGTGTATTCTATCAAGCATTTAATGAAAAAAGAAAAAAAAAATCCTAACAATTCTACACCAACTCTTCCAGAAAAATGCAGAAGAAATACTTCCCAATTCATTCTATGCTTTCTTTCTTCTGAGTGACACAAGTGGTCTTTTGAGGACAGTATGGCACCAGCGAGGCACCAACAGCACTTGGTGGGGCTGGGCTGTCTAACGCCCTCCAGTATGTGGTAAATGCTCCGAATCAGCAACCAATCTATGGGTCATTTCTTCTACAGCAGGACTCACTCGTCTGGAATTAAAGGGTGAGAATAAGAGTGGCTGCTGTCACCCATCTTTACAACTCTGGGTTGTATGGGTTTACAGGTTTTCATTCCCAAAGGAGATGCCCTTCCGCCAGGGGACACGCTGATTCCATTAGACTGGATGTTGAGATTGCCACCTGACCACATTGGGCTCCTCATGCCAGTGCACCAAAATGCAGAGGCCAGGGGGTTATTTACTGGCCAGGTAATTGGTCCTGACCATCAGACAAGTAATGAGGGACGTATAACTGGAATACAGAGAATCCTGAGAAAACAACAATCCCATTCAAGCAGGACTACGTATGACATTAACCCTTTAGTAATGGGGTCATAGGGGTTGGGGTCACTCCACTGGGCAAGATATTATGACCAACTTAGGTTCTTGCTGAGGGCTAAGGAATATGGAATGATTAACGGAAGAAAAAAAATACAGCTATGACCATGTGGCCAAATATAAAAACAAGGAATGGCTGCATATTAGACAGAAGCATAATTTTGCTTTTCTCTTTATTTAAAAAGTGAAACATGATTAAGAGGTGTGCATAGCCTGGCCGGCGTGGCTCAGTGGTTGAGCATCGCCCGATGAACCAGGAGGTCATGGTTCGATTCCCGGTCAGGGCACATGCCCAGGTTGTGGGCTTGACCCCCAGTGTGGGGCCTGCAGGAGGCAGCTGATCAATGACTCTCTATCACTGATAATTTTATCTTTCTCTCCCTCTCCCTTCCTCTCTGGAATCAATAAAATTATATTTTTTAAAAAAAGAGGTGCATAGATGTTGAGTAGATAAAGGATTGACTATAGTGGTTTTGTACTTTGCCAACTTGGCTAACAAAGCTTGAACTAGGTTTCCCCTAACCCCTTCCCTGGTCTGCGTTGCTTGGCCAAAAGGAGAACTCTGCCAAAGATCTGGAAAGTGAAAAGGGAACCAATTGCTATTTTGTTGAAGTTAACTGTGGTTAGAGATGGTAAGAGACATCATTAAGGGCCTGGCTTGTCCTCTCTCTCCCCTGCCCCATGTCCAGAGCATCCGACTAATAGAGACCAGTGTAGAGACAACAGCCTTATGCTTCATCTACTCCCCTTTGGTGTGGTCCCACTCCATCAGGAAGATTTGAAATTCTGACCAACTCCACGGCAAGCATGGATATGTCTACCCCTAACAGTGCTTCGGAAGAGGTAGCTGGTGATATTTTTCTGATTCTCCACCTCTCAGTTTTAGACTCTTACTCATCCAGCTTCTCCCACAATTGTGTTAAGATCTTAGTCCTATAATAAATCCCTTAATTCCCCAATAATATTTATAGTGGTTCTGTTTCCCAGACTAAACCCTGACCAATAAACCATGTTTTCCAGACAACACTTTCTGCCCCTGTGGACATCTTCTGTTTGGATACTATAGCTCACCTCCTTCCTTCAAGTCAGAAAAGAGAACTTTTGGGAGAGAAGTTATAATCACAATTTCTGCTTATGAGCAGCTCATTTTTGTTGTTGTAGGTCTGTGCCATCTAGCCATGGAAATGAGTGATCATGCTTGTCTCTATGACCATGGAGAGGATATGATGACGAAAAAAAAATACTAACTAAAAAATGACATGTTGGCCCTGGCCGGGTAGCTCAGTTGGTTGGAGTGCTGTTCCATACACCACAAAGGTGGCAGGTTCAATTCTCGGTCAGGCATACACAGGAGGCAACTGATCAATGGTTCTCTCTCTTCCTCCCTCTCTAAACTCAAAATTTATATATATATATATATATAGATAGATATATATAGATAGATAGATAGATATATAGATAGATATATAGATATATAGATATATATACACACACACATATATATATTAAATTACATTAAAAATAAAGGTAATAAATACTCTAAAGTCACAAGTTCCTAATTATTTCACTGCATTTTATTATTAACCTATGTTCTTGAGGTCATATTTTTTTCTCTATTGTATCCATAGGTGCATGCTACCACATTTCTTCCTAATTCTACATTCAATGATGTCACGTTAGTAGCTTGAAATTAGCCATTAACAGTATTTACACCACAGAAATAGGCAAACTCTACAAATCTGGATTTCATAGATTAAGGAACGTTTCAGGAAAATGGTGATCAGAAAGAATGCCAGGGGGGTTCTAAAGATAGTTAAATACACAAGGTTTGAATAGAACAATGTTCATAGAGACATTGATACGAAACAGGTAGGAAAGGTAGACTGGAACAAGACTGAAACAGTGAGAAACGGCAGGCTGTAAAATGACTGGGACTTACAGCAAAGGCCTTTCTAAGACAATGGGGAGATACTGAAGGTGTGAGGCAATAGTGTATAGCAGGGGTCCTCAAACTTTTTAAACAGGGGGCCAGTTCACTGTCCCTCAGACCGTTGGAGGGCCGGACTATAGTTTAAAAAAAAAACTATGAACAAATTCCTATGCACACTGCACATATCTTATTTTGAAGTAAAAAAACAAAACGGGAACAAATACAACATTTGTATTTGCAAGTGGCCCGTGGGCCGTAGTTTGAGGACCCCTGGTGTACAGGATGCAGGGAAGGTAATGAAACACTTTATTTTTGAAAACTGTGAAGCAGACCCTAAAAAATTATATTACATATAATAAACAAGTCTTGAGTAAGGCATTAAAAATCCATTATAACTCAAAGCTCCAAAGAATACATAGTCTGTGATTCCATTTATATAAAATGCAAACCCATCTATACCGACCAAAAGCAAATCCGTGGTTGCCAAGTGCTAGGGGAGAGACGAACTACAAAGGGGCACAGGGGTCTTGTATGTGATAGAAATGCTCTCTTATCTTGATTGTGATGGGTGTATGTAGCTGTAGGAACTGATCAAATAAAACACTTAAATGGATGGGGTTCATTGTACTCGAGCATTCCTCTATGAACCTAAGGGGAAAAACACAGTTACAGCTTAAATATATTAACCAGACATTTGATATGTATTTAGGTGTGAATGAAGAAGTTATGCAATGACAGCAATTTTAGAGAAGCAAAAACCAAACTCATAGTTTCCTCTTTTCATGTGATGAGCTCAGTATCTATAAACACTATCAATTCCTTCCCCCAGAAGTTATGTACAGGCCAAACCTCATTTCTTTATTTTCCCTCACCCCATTCCCACACTATCCAACTCCTCCCATTTCCTCCTCACCACCACTGGGAGGGTGTTCATTTTCTTCATCTCAGTAATGGGAAGAACGTTACCTACCTCAAATGCACATATAACACTTGACACATAGCAAATTAGCCTTAACTATTTTCTACACATTTATGCTCATGGAAAGCAGAGTCTGTCTTATGTATCTCTGCATTTCTCTCACTGTATTTAGCAGAAGGTACAATAAACAGTAGCCCCCCAAATAAGTACTTCTTCAGAGAAATGTCTGTAGTACCCAGAAATTCAGATATGGATGGAAAAGACACCACCACGCAACATCAGGGAGAATCTGAAGGGTTACCTTCAAGACATAAATGTTCTGTGCAATTTGAAAAGAATGATCAGTGATGACTGAAGGAATTAAGAAGCATCTCTAAGAGGAGGTGACACTGAGGTCGCTAAAATCTGAAGGGGACTAAGGGGAGGCTGCACATCTACTTCCCTAACCGGTATTTGTAAACACTGCAAAATGCAAGTCCACGAGGAAAAATCTTTAATAGTGACACCAGGATAAGTCTTAATAGTCAAATACTGCAAAAAAGGCAAGCAAACGAGGCTCTAGAGACAGGCACTCGATGCAGAAGATGAAAAGGAGCAACTTTTCCTAACGACTGCACAATCCCAACAGCATTCCCAATACCATTTGACATCCGATCTAGATAAATTCTAGACGCTCAAGACGGAGTAAGATTTAAGGATAAAATGAGATCTAAATATCCAAGATCCCTGTGCCACTAACACTGGGCGTTATGGTATACCCGAGGATTCGGAGGGCTGCCACCTTCATGCTAAACGGACTCTCGAGGGCAAGTATAGTAACTGTTCCGACTCCAAGTCAGACGTGGTCCAAGGAAAAGGCAGTGCAGGCCACTGGGGCCAACAGTCCGAGGAGGGCTGGTGACCTGCTGAAAGCAGCAAAGCGGCGTTTGTGGGGCCTACCACCGCCTCCCCGAGCACCCCGGGTGCAGGGAGCTGCTCAATCTAGCCTCCGGGTTGCATGGGAGTCGCTGCGATGGGAGGAACCCCGAGTTTGCCGCCTGGCGAAGTCTAACACAATGAGCAACCCCAACTCCCACTCACAAAGCGTCCTCGGGTTTCCATGCGCGCCTCAGCCTCATTGGGAGGAAGGGAAGGTGAAGACCGGCTTCCCGCGCCACCCCCAGCAGGCCCCAGATTAACTAGGGGCTAATAATAATAATAATTAATAATAATAGTAGGGGGGCGGACCTAGCGACCTCTGGCCTCAGACTCCACAAAGAGATGGTCTAGGCGTCAGCCCGGCTCAGGGGTTCAGGGGCTCAGGGGCCCAGAGGCCCGCAGGACCCGCAGGACCCGCAGTGGCAGCGCCCAAGGGACAAGAGGAGCCCGGGGAAACAGCGGGCGGCCAACCTCACCTGCCGCTTGTTCATCCGCCGCACATCGTCCAAAAAATCTAGAGACAGCATGGTGGGGCCGGTGAGGAGGACACCGGCAGAAGAGAGGGCGCGATCTGACCGGCGGGCGGAACGACCGACGCCGGGCTGAGCTCGCACTGGACAGGACCCGCGGCGCCCTCACTTCCGCTTCCGGGGCGGCAACCGGCGCGGCCCGCCCCTTCGCTGCCCGGAGTGGGCAAAGGGGCTCGCGACCTGCCTGATCCGGCCTTCCGGCCTGGCCTCGCTGTAGGAGGGCTCTCCCCCTCCGGACGTCGCCGGCTGAGAACCGACCGGGGCCCACTTCCGCGCTCGGCCCCGCGGCCCGTCGCGGAGGACCCCCCCCACCCGGGGTTGAAGGGAAGCCGCCTTGCAACTTCCGGGGGGCGGGCGCTCGTGCATGTCTGGCCAATGGGAAGCCGCGTCTCCGGCGTCTGAGGCCAGAAGCGGCCCCTGAGTGGCTGGCGCGGTTAAGCCCGCCCCGGGTCCGGGTGTGGCACTAGACGTGTGGCCCCGCCGAGCGGTCTCAAGTAGGGGCGGGGCGAGGGGGGAGGTGCTCCGGGGAACTGACAGCAGAGATGGTTTCAATAAGTGCTTTTCCCGTAAAGGTGGAGGATGCGAGAGACTTTGAAAGCACACCTGGATCTCTCAAATTTAAGAAACCCTTCGTTGGCGAGAAAACAACCCTGTCGATTAGAAAGTAACCAAACCGTGTAAGAGCGTGATGAGAAAACGAGGGGTGCGGGTAATCAGGGAGCCTCTTTCTCCCTGAACTTGACTTCGATAATGGAATCTGACTACCTCCTTGACCTCTACCTCCTGCACCTTGATGTAACCCTTCCCTCGCTGCCTTCTGTCACGCTGCACTATAAACAGCCTTTGCTTTGAGTAGCTGAAGCTCCTAATATGCATCTAGGGCAGTGGTTCTCAACCTTCCTAATGCCGCGACCCTTTAATACAGTTCCTCATGCTGTGGTGACCCCCAATTTCATTGTTACAAATTGAACATAATTAAAGCATTGTGATTCATCACAAAAACAATATGTAATTATATATGTGTTTTCCGATGGTCTTAGGTGACCCCCTGTGAAAGGGTCGTTCAACCCCCAAAGGGGTCGGGATCCACAGGTTGAGAACCGCTGATCTAGGGCAAGAAGGACCAGAGCTGGTCTCTTGCTATTATTTCTATCTTTTTGAAATACTGTTTATAGAAAAAAGAAAAGAAAAGGAAAGAAAAAAGAAAGAAGATACTGTTTGTCTCACCTTGGGGGACACGGCCCTTCTTACCTTTTCCCCCCCAGCATCTTACATGAAATAAACACTCAAAAAATTGTATTTTCAAATGAATGAACGGGAGGCCTTAAAACCCAGCAGGCCCAACCCTCCCCGACAGATGCATCCAGCAAGACTCTAAGGATGGGATTATCCTCACTCAACTCAATGAGGAGGGTGGCCTGGCAGTGCTTGCTCTGGGCTAAAAGAGGATTTATCAAATTAAAAATCGGAAGTCATAGCCCTAGTCCCCAGAGAGTTTTCAGTATCATTTGCAGCAAGGGAAAAAAAAAGTGTCATGAAAAGAAACAAGTTAAGGTATAACTGCTAGCCTCTACATTCTCTAGAAACACAGAGAAGAAAAGGAATATTCCAGGCATGGCCTTGGTCAAAGCAGACTTCTGAGGGAAGCTGGGCCACAGTTGGGCCAGCTTTGCATTATAAAAGAGGAAGCATAGTGTCAAGCACAGATTAGAAGTGGGGTTAGGTGTGGGGAGGTGGCTAACACTCAGGCTTCCTTTCTGGGCGCTTATAGTCTCAAGGACAGACTGAGTGAGAAATAATTGGAGTGAAAAGAGTGCATTAGGGCCCTAGCCGGTTTGGCTCAGTGGATAGAGCGTCGGCCTGCGGACTGAAGGGTCCCAGGTTCGATTCCGGTCAAGGGCATGTACCTTGGTTGCAGGCACATCCCCAGTGGGTGGTATGCAGGAGGCAGCTGATCCATGCTTCTCTCTCATCGATGTTTCTAACGCTGTCCCTCTCCCTTCCTCTCTGTAAAAAATCAATAATATATATATATATATATATATATATATATTTTTTTTTTTTTTAAAAAGAATGCATTAGGAAGGAATAGGACTGGGCTGGATTAATATAAACTGGGTAGATCTGGTGAGGCTTAATGAGGTTTCCCTGTAGTGCTGGGGAGGAAACACTGTCTCTTATGAAAATAATTCAGATATTTAGGACAGGTGATCCCAGACTAGATAAAGTCATAAGCCAAAGGAATTAAATTTTCCAAATGTGGGACTCTGACATGCTATTTTCTCTGCCCACTGTGCTGCCAATTTTCCCAACACATAAGTCCATCAATCACAATGGCATGTCTGGTATTTTCCTTCATATATAGACTGCTGGTCTGCCTAAAGGAGGCACCTTATTATAGAGATTAAGTCAGACGCACTCGACTTTGAATCACAGATCAACCACTCACTAGCTGTGTGATCTTGGGCCTATCAGTTAACTCTTTTTTTATCCTCACTTTTCTGGTGTGTAAAGTGGGAATAAAAAAATCATTTATATCGTTTGAAGATTAAACAAGATAGTACACATGAATACAGCTGTTGACACAATGGATGACAAATGGTGAGTGTACGATAAATGTTAGTAGTTATTATTAAAACAAGAAGTGGCTTCCACCTGATGTCCAAATGCTCAGGGCTAAGAAAGTCTGTCATTAGAGTTGAGCCCGGGCTAATCATTTCTGTACGAATTAAGGGTGTCTACCAGCAGAAGCAAAGTAGACTCCATTTTTTATTTTTTATTTTTATTTATTTTAAAAATATATTTTATTGATTTTTTTACAGAGAGGAAGGGAGAGAGATAGAGACTTAGAAATATTGATGAGAGAAACATCAATTAGCTGCCTCCTGCACACTCCCTACTGGGGATGTGCCCGCAACCAAGGTACATGCCCTTGACTGGAATCGAACCCGGGACCCTTCAGTCCGCAGGCTGACCCTCTATCCACTGAGCCAAACCGGTCAGGGCTAGACTCTATTTTTTTAAAAGGTTACTCAAAATAACCATGACCTCACCAGTTTCTCCTTGTCCTTCTGCATGAAGGAAGTAGTGGATGGAAGGAGAAGGTCCGCTATGACCCTTCTGGGAAAGGAAGTGGCCCGGGTATATTAGGGCAAGCCACATCGGGAACTTAGCTCCTCCTGGCACCATCTCCCCAAAGGGAGGACCCATCTACCCAGCCTCCCCATCGACAGGCCAGGGACTAAAGAAATGGGGCTTTCTGTCTGCCTGCCAACCCATCAGAGACCTTTTTGTTTGTTTGTTTTTTAGTTTTTTTATGCAGCAGCTCTGTATAACATGAGGTGTCAGGAAAAAAAATCTCATTCCCCAAATCAAAAGTGCCTTCTGTGCACAGAGATTATTAGAGTCACTCAAGCCTCTCTGGAAGATTTTTGGAGCGCTCTCTTTAAAAAGGCCTGGACAGCTGCAGAGACAGCTGGGGAAGGAAGCACCAGCCTTCTGGGTTGGTATGTGTGTATACTGTGGTGGGGGGTCGGAGCTGCCAGTTTCCTGCTTGGCCATTCTGACTTGGCTAACAGGGGCCTTGCTGTTTGTTGTATAAGCTCTTACAGAGGAGAGGGCTGCGCTGTGAATCTGGGGGTCCTGTGGGTGAAGGGCCAAGAGTGGAGGCAACTTAGCCTCTCCCTGTAACCTGGGCTTCCACCTCCTGTCACTGGTTACTTGCCTTTTGGGATTTTGCATCTTAGAGTTTAATGACAGGGGATTGGCTCTTCTTGATAGCTTAAGGCAGTGGTTCTCAACCTTCTGGCCCTTTAAATACAGTTGCTCATGTTGTGACCCAACCATAAAATTATTTTCGTTGCTACTTCATAACTGTAATGTTGCTACTGTGATGAATCGTCATGTAAATATCTGATATGCAGGATGGTCTTAGGCGAACCCTGTGAAAGGGTCGGTCGACCGCCAAAGGGGTCGCGGCCCACAGGTTGAGAACTGCTGGCTTAAGGGATCCTATGGGAATTTGTTGAGGAAGTGAATCCCTGCAGGAAATGTGGCTTGTATAAATCTGGATTTGAATATAATGTTCTCTTAACGAAACCACATTCAAAGATATCATTAGCAATCATTTATATATGCAGTCAAGGAATAAAAAACATTTACCTACAGGATGCTGGCGCTTGTGTTGACATGCATGATTTGGCCACTGAGTTTGATCCTGAAATTCTTTTGTTTTTCTTCTTTATATTTCTTTATTGATTTCAGAGAGGAAGGGAGAAGGAGAGAGAGATAGAAACATCAATGATGAGAGAGAATCGTTGATCGGCTGCCTCCTGCACACCCCCAACTGGGGATCGAGCCTGCAACCCAGGCATGTGCCCTTGGCCGGAATTGAACCTGGGACCCTTCAGTCCACAGGCTGACGCTCTATCCACTGAGCCAAGCCGGCTAGGGCGACCCTGAAATTCTTAGCCAACCCCTCACCCTCCAATCCTGGGCAAACACAGTCCCAAGATAAGACAGAGGGGTTAATGAAGTGAGCTCTGAAGCCAAAATGCTCTACCCCTTACAGACTGTGACACTAGACAAGTTACATCTCCTTTCTGTACCTCAGTTTCTTTATCTGTAAACACAGGGATTGTGGTATCTTGGGGTTTTTATGGAGATCAACTGAGGTAAGACTGTAAACCAATAGAATAAAGCCTGACACTTCCTATATAAATAAAGAGCTAATATGCTAATTAGACTGGATGGTGGAAGGACCTTCCAGAATGACAAGTGGGCAGGGGGTGGGCCCGGGAGGCAGCCGGGGCCACAAGGGCTGAGCCACCTTGCACGAATTTTGTGCATCAGCCTCTAGTACTAAATAATGGTTATTATTATCAGGATGTCCTTCTGAATCAAGGGAATGGTGAAATTGAGACAGAGAGTGATTCAAACTGGCCCCATCCAGCATCCTGACTCACCTTCCTCCTCCTCCTCCCTTGCACAATCACTCCCTTAAGCACTAAGCCCACGGGACAATGAGGTTTTGATCAGGATCAAATAATCTTAGGAGCAAAGCCTTGGGTATATTGACCACACAGACACAGTTTTGGTCACACTAGAGATAAAATCTAGGCCTCAGTTGTGTTTCAGCTCCAGGCCCAGAAAAGCAACAAAACCAGATGAAGCGAGTGCACTGCGGGCTGACAGCAGGACCAGATGCAACGACCAATGACTCCCTCCCCTAGCGTGAACAATCGGTAGAGACCACAACCCTGAAAGGACACACCAGGAAAGCTGACGAGTATTCTATTGAGAA